TTTGATAAACAAACAATAAATTGTGGACTTGAAGTTAGGGATCAATTCTACATTACAATCAGTATATATACAGATCCCTCACTTTGTGGCCAAAGAAGTTACTGTAATTATAAAAATTGTAAATAAATCTAAAAGACATACTTGTGTAGCTAATCAATATTTCATTGATTGATTGGTTTTCTACGGCTTATCAACAATCAAGAAATTACAATGTGGAAATAAAGTAGGGATCAACGATCTTATTTACAATCAATATATAAAGTTTCTCATTTAAATAAAACAGTAGTTTTTATACATTCATATTCCAGACATTGTAAATAAATCTAAATGACATGTCTGTGCATCTAATCAGTATTTCATCGACTGATTGTTTCATTTTCTACGACTAACAAACAAGAAATTATAATGTGGAAAATCAATTTATAAAATGATATAAAAGTGGGGATCAATCTTTTAGTTTTCTATACATTATGAGAATATAGGAATCAAAGATATTTTTTGGCAAAATAATATTTATTGAAGAACCTTTTTTTTTTCACAAAGAATGGTAAATAAAATTTAAAATCATTATAAAATCCCTTTTAATTATTCAAAATTTTTATTTTTCATTTTTCATTAAAAAAATCTAAAAATTTTCTACGTCAATATTTATAAACAAAGGAGAAATTATAAGTTGGGAAAAAATAATGGTTAATTATTTGGGGGATCAATCCTACATTAAAACAATTCAAAGGATAAAATGGATTTTAAAAATATTCAGAGAAAAAAAAGTCTTGTTAGATATATATTAATCAATATTTATATTCATTAATTATTTTACGTCTTAGAGAAGGAAATTGAAATAAATGGAAAAAAGATAAAAAGTTATGCCTATGTCAATTTTTTGTATATATTTAATCAATAAATCAAATTAATTCTTTACTTTTCAATATTTAAATTATTAATTGATTTCTAGTTCTTATCAACAAAAATTATAATGTGGATATAAAGTGGGGGATCAATTCTATATTACAAAAATATATAAACGGATCCCTCATTTTTGTAACTAAATAGTTTATATACATTTATATTCAGAAAATTAAATAAATCTAAAAGACATGCCTATGTTGCTTATCAGTATTTCATTGATTGATTGGTTTGTTTTCTACGACTTAACATACAAGAAATTATAATGTGGATATAAAGTGGGGGATCAATTTTATATTAAAATCAATATGTAAACTGGACCGTGAGTTTGTGACCATGGTAGTTTCTATATCTTTATATTCCAGAGACTGTAAATAAATCTAAAAGACATACCTGTGGAGCTAATCCGTGTTTCATTGATTGACTGATTCGTTTTTTACGGCTTATCAACCCTTTGCAGGTTATTTAAAACTAGGAAAAGGTTTATTAGATTGCAACATTTTTTTTTAGATAATAATGGTTTAGTGATACTAGTCTAATTAATTAATCTATATATGGGGTGAGAAAATCTGAATTCACACCTTTCTCAATGGTATTTACGCGTAAATGATGAACCCAAATGGAATTGAAACTCAGAACTCCGATTTAGAATTCGGCGACATTATCCATTTACACCAAGTTTACAATACCTGGTATTCGCAAGCGGCCAACTATCTAGGTGTTGGAATTTTTGGGTACCCTGCAGTACTAGTGAGCCAGCCAAAATGAGCTGACTCATTTTATAGTCCACGAAGAGAAGGGTTAACTAATCGTGTATAACGTGTATAAAGGCAGCCATTTTGTTTTTTCTCCAAAAATATCTTCACCGCCAACTTCTGATAAACACATTACGTACTTCACTGGATTTTATATTCAGTTTATTATTGGGCAAACATGGTTAACACTAGGGAAGTGAGGGCTCGATTTGCTTAACTTCGGTGATCGAAGAAATAACAAAGGGTTTTACGCCATATAGTGATAAAAATTTTGTTTATTTATATATCTACCTACACAATTTTTTTTTCATATTTGTCATAGGCTCGTTCAGTGTTCACCTTTCGTGGTCGACAGTGAAGCAGGTAAATCTCAGATTTCTATGCCTGGCTGGGAAGTCACCTAATGTTAAATCTTACTTGGCTTCATTGATAGTCTAATGTGAAATCGAATGCAAATTCTTGTAGCATACCTACAGACGATAACGGGTTTGTCCCCATTCACGTAAATAATAGTAAATACTGTATATTGGTCCGCAGTTGGAGTTTCGATTCTCAAAAAGATTGCTGGTTGGTTTCTCTACTAAAGCAGAGAGGATCCTGAAGACGAGGCTATGTCGAAGGGCATAGTCTTGTCTTATAGCTGCTGTTACCTGAAAAATTTTTATACGTTTTCTACAGAGAATTTTTTCAAGCGAAATTTTTTCATGGATACCCCACATTAAATTCGGACTATGTGATTACATCTTCTAACGCGTAATTGGTTGGTAGATATATGGTCAATTGTCAAGAGATTCATTTGGAATTCATTTGACTCACTTCTTCCAGTTCTAGTTCTACGCGCCGCTGGCGAATCTTATATGTGTTGTTCTTGTCCTAAGTATTATCGTTCATTACCAACCTTTATGTGATTATTCTATTCAGTAACCTTTTTGATTTACAACAAACCTTTTAATATTGGGTTCATTTTAATGAAATCATCTAAATTCTATTAATTTTTTTTGCAATTTTCCATAACTACGAAAAGTAAGCATTTATTAAAATTATAAATTTCATCGATAACTTGTTTGAATTAAACGATGCATATTTTTCCTGCAGTAGATTTCTAATTTGTTTCTATGGTAGACCAGTTGCCATAAGGCTTTAGAATGAAATCTGTTTATATATTATCTACTATGGCATGGCCCGGCGTTGCCCGTGCTTGATTCAAAAAATCGTACGACTCATACAGCAATCGCTAACACTTGACATAAAAATGTTTTTGCCCTATCTTGCCTTTAAAGGAGTGCCCTTTGTCGTGCTGATGTTGCTACATACCTTACTTCTTGCCTATCTCACACTGCGAATTTTTTCTAAGCTCTATACCAAATATTAAATTTTTACGAAAAAAGAACTAAACAAAATGAACACAAAACGATCAGCTTTAAAAAGGACTCGTAACTGCAAAAACCGAATGAAAAAAGAATGTTAAATACTTTTTCACACCCAAACCAGTTCTACGGAATCAGAATCAACGTTGAGTTTAAGCAAGCGAATGAGCCAATTGGAGTAAAGTGCCATGCAGATTTAAATTTTTCCCACTTGTGACGAATGCAGCTATCGATTTTTTGCATGCTAGTTAACATTCGTGTCAATCAGCTGTTGCCTCTCACGCTGACCAATAGAATCTTCCTGCCTATTCGTGGCAGCCAGCTATAGGCTCTCACTCTTGCCAGTAGAAAATGGCCTCAAACTACATGAAAACTGCCGTAGAAGCAAGAAAAAATCGATTATTTCCACTATCGATGGGAGTTGGGAAATGCAAAGTCGGTCTTGGCCTTCCCGCTAACTTGAGCATGTGCATGTAAATTTTGGTGCAAATCCATCGAAAATTGCGGCCGTGCATTCGTTACACACACACACACACACACACATAGATAGAGATTTTATAGATAGAGATTTAAAAATAGCTGGAGAAGGGGAAGAAGAGGAAAATACCTTTCCAAATCTTTTGAAATTAGTCGATTTATTAATAAAATCTCTCATTATTTTAAATTTGAAACCCATTCAACCAGACCAATTGGATGTCGGGTGGTAATAATAGATACTGGTTCTCAATTGAAAATCCATGCCAATTTCCAAAAGTTGATTTATATTCACTTAAGCATAAATAGCCTTCCGAAAGAATCGACCTCTTCTCCCCCGGCTATGGGTTAATTAGCAACCTTTTTTCTTTCTTCTTTCGTTTTCTTTTTTCCTTCTTCTTTTCCTTCGAGCGTTTTCTCCATTATCCTTTTTCTTCTTTAACGACTCCGTTTCATTTTTCCTTCTTTCTTTTCATCAAAAAAAAAGGGAATCTTTTTTTTTTTTTTTTTGCTTTTTCTCTTCTTTTTCTTTTTCCTTTTTATGTTCTTCGATTTTATCGTTCTACCTTTTCAATTTCGCTCCCCTTATTTTCGTCTGTTTATTATTATTATTTGTTGTTTTTTTTAAAAGTTTTCTACAACTATCCTTATCAATTCCATTTTACCCACAAAAATCGACATCTGAAGCTCTACAATTGATTCCATTTAGATCTAACCTACATTTTTGGTGAATCAATCGTGAAGACAATTCTTCTACACAGTGAGTCTTCAAGAAAATTTTTATTTTCTCTCTGGCAGACAAAAACATTTCAGCACACCCTGGATGAAGTTAATAAAAAAAAAAAGAAACGTCTTTCCAAATGAAGTGTTTAATTGATTGGTTAAACTCAATCACGTGCAAATTATTACAAACGGACGCTGACAAAGCAATCCTGAACACAGTAAGTGTTGTTACTTGAAGAGAGATGCCTTGCTCAAACGAAGTTGTTAAGTCAGTTGCTAATATGACCCCCAAACCAATCAGTATCTGTACCTAAATTCGATCAGGACCTTCACATCTCACCAATGGCGATTCTTCTTTCTTTAAATTTAATCAGTTCCACTCCGGTTGGGTGTTTGAAAGATGCAACAGTCAGTCATAATGAAAACCAATCAGATCTTATTTCCGTCTGTAATTAGATAGTTCGAACCTCAGTGGGCAGGGTATTGTATAATTTGTCCATTTTTTTTTGATTTAATTTTCGATCATTTAAAGTAATGCGAAAGATTTTTGGGAAGGAACGAACGAACTGAAAGAAAAAACCCTAAAAAGGAAAATGTTGTGAAATGAAAAAAAAGTGAAAGATTTAGAAAAAAAAAGGAATAATTGAAAAAATAGCAGGAAAACGAAAGAATGAAATAAGAAAAAAAAAAAAGGAAAGAGGGGGTTAAAAAAAGAAAGAAAGAAAATTTAATTTAGAAAATTCCTTCTCTTTTGGCACATTTAGGAGGATTTTACCCAAAAGAATGAAATGGTGGAATCAATAGGGGGATGAAAATAAGAAAAGAGAGAAAGGATTCTAGGAAAGGAGGAATTTTTGGAAAAAGAGGAAGAAAAGGAAGGATTGAAAATGATGAAAAAATTCTGAATTCAAAATTTGTAAAAGAAAGAAAAAAAAAGAATTAAAAAAAAATTTCAGGGAAAAGGATTTTTTAAAAATTAATGACAAATTTGGCAAAATTTGCAAAAAAATTAAAATTTTGTTTAAGCTTAATTTATTTTCGAAGAATGAAAAAAAAATCTTTCTTTTTAATCATCTTCTAAAAAAAAAAGAAAAAATTTTTATTATAGAAAAGAAAAAAGAAAGAAGAAAGAAAAGAAAAGTTTTGAAATTAAAGAAAGAAAGAAAAGAAAGAAAAAAAAAAAAAGAGAAAAAAGAAAGAAAAAAAGAAAATGATGAAAGAAAAAAAAGAAAAAAATTTTGAAAAAAGAAAAAAAAAAAAAAATAAAGATTTTAAGAAATTTTAAGAAAAAGGAAAAAAAGAAAGAAAGAAAAAGTTTCAATGAAAAAAGGAAAAAATTTCAAAGAAAAAAGAAAGAAAGAAGTAAAGAATAAATTCTGGTGTAATAAAGAAAGAAAGAAAGAAAGAAAAACAAAAAAAAATAAAAGAAAAAAAAGAAAGAAAGGGAAAACTTGAAAAGTTTCGAAAAGAAAGAAAGAAAGAAAAAATTTGAATTAAAAAGAAGAAAGAAAGAAAGAAAAGAAAGAAAGAAAGGAAAAAAGAAGAAAGAATGTCTATATTGAGAAAAAAAGAAAAAGAAAGAAAGAAAAAAAAAAAGAAAATAAAGAAAAGAAAAATTTTGAAAAAAAAAAGAAAGAAAATTGAAAAAAGTTTCGAAGAAAGAAAATTTTTGTTCAACTGAAAATTTAAAAAAAAAAAATCCAAAATAATGAAATTCAAAGAGAACAATTTCAATTTTTTTGAAAAAGAAAGAAAAAAAAAATATGTCGTGAATTTGTCAGATGGAAAACAGAAATCCTTAAAAAAGAAAAAAAAACCAATTTAAAAAAGAAAAAAATAGCGAAAAGGAAGAATTAAAACCAGGACAAAAGAAGAAAAAATCTGAAGCTAAACAAAGAAAATAAAATGGAAAGAGTAAAAAATTAATAAATTTGAAAAATATCGAATTATTTAGAATATTATTTGAACAATAAAGAAGAAGAAAAGGAAAAGAAAAGAAAAAAAAAAAAGGAAATATTCAAAAATAAAATATATATATATATATATATTATATATAAAAGAAAAAAAAAAGAATTTGGAAGATGTAGAAAATAATATTAAAGATAAACGTGACAGAAGAAAATCGAGGAAAGATGAAGAGAGAAAAGAAATCAATTTCAAAAAAAAGTAGATTTGAATCTAAAAAAAAATGGGGGAATTTCATTAAAGGAGATGAAAAAAGAAAAAAAGGAAAAATTCTGGGAAATGGGTAGAAAGAAAGATTTGAATTGGACAACGAAAAAAAACTTTGAAAAGGCATCTGACATGTTGCAAGAAAAAATTTTGAATGAATAACTATAAATAACAAATTAAACTGAAAATCTGACATTAAAAACAAAAGCAATCACAGCCTATGTTGATATCGTTCCAGTGGCAAAGAGAGGGACTTAAAAAATATGGAAGAATAAATACCATTATTAGAAACTAGCTTAAAAGCCGTCCTATCAAGCGGCATTTAAACTTGCTACTGCAGAGGCTCCTTAATCATCACAATAGATAGGGAGGAGTAGATGTGATAGGCATCTATTCCTCCAATTAACTTCCCAAAGAAGAACTCAACATTCTTGATGGTTAATTTAATTCAGGCCAGTTAGACTGCCACTGCGTGATAAAGGTACATTATTTATGTGGCAGATTTTGAAATAAAGTATAGTTCAAAATTTTTTCAACGGTTTGGAATGCCATCCATATCTATAGAAAAACTGTCTTTCTATTTACCAATAGTTTGGGGGAAGAAGACCAGAATCAATTCCCCAAGGATATTAGCATGTAAGTCAATGTAATGGATTCGACTGAGAATTCGAACTCGACTCTCCGATTTCTCAATCCAAGCCGCTATCTATAACACCACCGTATCATTTACCGTTTAAGGTCGTTGTTATTATTTCCTTGGACTCCATTTTTGATTAATTCGAGAAATTTTACGTGATTCAAATTACAAGAAAATAAAAAAAAAAAATGAGCAATTTTTTAAACTCACCTAAAATAAAACAAAAAAAAACAAAAATAAAACATAAACAATAAAATTATTCAAACAAAAAAGGCCGAAAAAATAAAATGGCGACAAAGATGAGGACAATAAAAAATAAAATAAAACATAAAACCTCATTATGAAATATAGAGAAACTGAAAGGCCGAAACGTTGTAATAAATATGGAAACAAAAAAAAAGGACAATGGTCCGAATAATTTAAATAGTGTACATAATGCCTCATCTCAAAAATATAGAAGATACTGAAAGGTGAAAACGTTGTAATAAATATGGCAACAAAGATGAGGACAATAGTCGAATAATATAAATTTTTACATAATGTCCTCATCTCAGAAATATAGACAGATACTGAAAGGAGGGAAACGTTGTAATAAATATAGTGACAAATATGGCGAAAATCGTCGAATGATGTAAATAGTGTACATAATACCTCATCTCAGAAATATAGACAGATACTGAAAGTACCGAAACGTTGTAATAAATATGGCGACAAAAGATGAGGACAATATCCGAATAATGTAAATATCTATACATAATACCTCATCTCAGAAATATAGGCAAATACTGAAAGGCCGAAACGTTAGTAATAAATATGGCGACAAAAAAATGAAGATAATAGTCCGAATAATGTAAATAGTGTACATAATAACTTATCTCAGAAATATATTCAGATACTGAAAGGCCGAACGTTGTAATAAATATGGAGACAAAAGATGAGGACAATAGTTCAAATAATGTAAATAGTTATACCTCATCTCAAAATATGGACAGACTTCTGAAGGCAAAACGTTGTAATAAATATGGCGACAAATATGAGGACAATAGTCCGAATAATGTAAAAAGTGTACATATTACCTCATCTCAAAATATGAAACAGATACTGAAAGGCCGAAACGTTGTAATAAATATGGCGACAAAGATGAGGACAATATTCGAATAATGTAAATAGTGTACATAATACCTCATCTCAGAAATATAGACAGATACTGAAAGGCCGAAACGTTGTAATAAATATGGAGACAAAGATGAGGACAATAGTTCAAAAATAATGTAAATGGTGTACATAATACCTCATCCTGGAAATAAGACAGATACTGAAAGGCCAAACGTTGTAATAAATATGGCGACAAAGATGAGGACAATACTCGAATAATGTAAACGTACATAATACCTCATCTCAGAAATATAAAGATACTGAAAAGGGAAACGTTGTAATAATTATGGCGACAAAGATGATGGACAATAGTGAATAAAAAAAATAGTGTAATAATACCTCATCTCAAATATAACAGATACTGAAAGGTCGAAACGTTGTAATAAATATGGCGACAAAGATGGGACAATAGTCCGAATAATGTAAATAGTGTACATAATACCTCATCTCAGAAATTTAGACAGATACTGAAAGGCCGAAACTATTTGTAATAAATATGGCGACAAAAGATGAGGACAATAGTCCGAATAATGTAAATAGTGTTTACATAATACCTCATCTCAGAAATATAGACAGATACTGAAAGGCCGAAACGTTGTAATAAATATGGCGAAAAAAATGAGGGACAATATCCGAATAATGTAAATTAATACCTCATCAAAGAAATATAGACAGATACTGAAAGGGAAACGTTTAATAAATGGCGACAAAGATGAGGACATAATATCGAATAATGTAAATAGTGTACATAATACCTCATCTCAGAAATATAGACAGATACTGAAAGGTCGAAACGTTGTAATAAATATGGCGACAAAGATGAGGACAATAGTCCGAATAATGTAAATAGTGTACATAATACCTCATCTCAGAAATATAGACAGATACTGAAAGGCCGAAACGTTGTAATAAATATGGCGACAAAGATGAGGACAATAGTCCGAATAATGTAAATAGTGTACATAATACCTCATCTCAGAAATATAGACAGATACTGAAAGGCCGAAACGTTGTAATAAATATGGCGACAAAGATGAGGACAATAGTCCGAATAATGTAAATAGTGTACATAATACCTCATCTCAGAAATATAGACAGATACTGAAAGGCCGAAACGTTGTAATAAATATGGAGACAAAGATGAGGACAATAGTTCAAATAATGTAAATAGTGTACATAATACCTCATCTCGGAAATATAGACAGATACTGAAAGGCCGAAACGTTGTAATAAATATGGCAACAAAGATGAGGACAATAGTCCGAATAATGTAAATAGTTTTACATAATACCTCATCTCAGAAATATAGACAGATGCTGAAAAGGCCGAAACGTTTAATGAAAAATATGGTGACAAATACAAAAATCGTCCGAAAAATGTAAATAGTGTACATAATACCTCATCTCAGAAATAGTAAATACTAAAAGGCCGAAACGTTGTAATAAATATGGTGACAAAAGATGATGGGAAATAGTCCGAATAATGTAAATAGTGTACATAATCTCATCTCAGAAATATAGACAGATACTGAAAGGCCGAAACGTTGTAATAAAATGGCGACAAAGATGAGGACAATACTCGAATAATGTAAATAGTGTACATAATACCTCATCTCAGAAATATAGACAGATACTGAAAGGTCGAAACGTTGTAATAAATATGGCGACAAAGATGAGGACAATAGTCCGAATAATGTAAATAGTGTACATAATACCTCATCTCAGAAATATAGACAGATACTGAAAGGCCGAAACGTTGTAATAAATATGGCGACAAAAGATGAGGACAATAGTCCGAATAATGTAAATAGTGTACATAATACCTCATCTCAGAAATATAGACAGATACTGAAAGGCCGAAACGTTGTAATAAATATGGCGACAAAGATGAGGACAATAGTCCGAATAATGTAAATAGTGTACATAATACCTCATCTCAGAAATATAGACAGATACTGAAAGGCCGAAACGTTGTAATAAATATGGCGACAAAGATGAGGACAATAGTCGAATAATGTAAATAGTGTACATAATACCTCATCTCAGAAATATAGACAGATACTGAAAAGGCCGAAACGTTGTAATAAATAATGGCGACAAAGATGAGGACAATAGTCCGAATAATGTAAATAGTGTACATAATACCTCATCTCAGAAATATAGACAGATACTGAAAGGCCGAAACGTTGTAATAAATATGGCGACAAAGATGAGGACAATAGTCCGAATAATGTAGGGTGTACATAATACCTCATCTCAGAAATATAGACAGATACTGAAAAGCCGAAACGTTGTAATAAATATGGCGACAAAAGATGAGGACAATAGTCCGAATAATGTAAATAATGTACATAATACCTCATCTCAGAAATATAGACAGATACTGAAAGGCCGAAACGTTGTAATAAATATGGAGACAAAGATGAGGACAATAGTTCAAAATAATGTAAATATTTGTACATAATACCTCATCTCGGAAATATAGACAGATACTGAAAGGCCGAAACGTTTTAATAAATATGGCAATAAAGATGAGGACAATAGTCCGAATAATGTAAATAAGTGTACATAATACCTCATCTCAGGAAATATAGACAGATACTGAAATATAAAACGTTTAATAAATATGGTGACAAATATGACGAAAATCGTCCGAATAATGTATAAAACATTTCATCTCAGAAATATTTTTTGATACTGAAAGGCCGAAACGTTGTAATAAATATGGCGACAAAGATGAGGACAATAGTCCGAATAATGTAAATAGTGTACATAATACCTCATCTCAGAAATATAGACAGATACTGAAAAGCCGAAACGTTGTAATAAATATGGGGCGACAAAGATGAGGACAATAGTCCGAATAATGTAATTAATTTACATAATACCTCATCTCAAAAATAGACCAGATACTGAAAGGCCGAAAACGTTGTAATAAATATGGAGACAAAGATGAGGACAATAGTTCAAATAATGTAAATAGTTACATAATACCTCATCTCTATAGACTGATACTGAAAGGCCGAAAAAATTAAATGAATAACAAAGATGAGGACAATAGTCCGAATAATGTAAATAGTGTACATAATACCTCATCTCAGAAATATAGACATATAAATAACGACAAAGTCACCCAAGCGAAATTTAAACTAGCTATTTTACAAATCTTTTTCTTTTTTGAAATTGTTAATTGGACTGAGAACTTTATATTTCTCATTTTTTGCTGAAACTCCTGCATTTGTAATCCTCCCAGTGAATTATTCGTTGTTTTACCGTCTCGTGTCTCACCAGTAAAACAAGACGCATTTGTTACCTCTTTTCTTTGAATTTAAAATT